TTGAGGGGTGACAGACATTCAGGGTTTGTTCGGGGGAGAGCCTCAGCCTTAGGCTGGGAGCTGCCTTCTGGTCGGCCTGACTCGTGGCCTCCGCACGCTTAGTGGCGCGAAATGCCTCCTGGTCCTGGCTGTCCCCACGATCAGTGTGCACAGCGGACTGTCGCAACCCACGGGTTCTCAGGGGCCGATTCTCAAAAGGAGGTGACAGGCCTTTTTTCCTGGTCCGCCCCAGTCTGGAAGCCCTGCTAAAACCTGCTGAGCGCGTCTCCATGGACAGAGGGTGGGTGGTGGCTGCCCGCAAGGTGGTCGGTCGGGACGCGAACCCGGGTCTCCACAGGGAGGCGAGGATGCCGCCGTGAACCGCTGCCGGTCCTTGTCTCCATCCCAGCCTCCTGGAAGCTGCAGCCGCCCCCGTTTCACCCAGACACCCAAAGTCACAGATTCCGATACCTCACCTGGCCGGGCTTTTCATTCAGTGGGGATACTGGCTGCAGAGGGGTGTGCAGTGTGGTGGGAACGGGGGGACGGGGCTTCCCGGGGAGCCTGTGTGCAGGTTCCTGCCGCTGGCTGCGGACCTGGCGACCTGGACGCCTTCTCTCACTGCCCCCTCTGCCCGGTGCAGGGCTCCCTGCGGCTTGCTCATTCGGGACCACTGTCCCTCCCGCTCAGAGCCTCTGTGCCCCGGCAGCAGCGTCTGCCCCAGGACGTCTGCACATCCACACAGCTGGCGGCCGCAGCGTGGCTGCCGGTGGCCCGTCATTCCACTGCCAGGGCGCTGCTCTCTGGGGCGGGAGCCCTTCTGCCCTCCCCCTTGCTGCTTTTTATTGCGGCAGCGCTAACTCTTTATCGCTGTGTGTTGTCCGTGGGTGCTGTCCCGTTGATTCCAACTCATAACGGCCCCATGGGACAGTGGAACTGCCCCCTAGGGTTTTCTGGGCTGTATATGTGTATGATGAGGGGAGCTCTGGTGGCATAGTGCCTAACGCATCTGACTGCTAACCAGAGGGTTGGCAGTTCAAACCCACCAGCCACTCCTTGGAAGGACAGTTGGACAATCTACTTCTGTAGAGATACTGCCTTGGAAACCCAAGGAGGGCTCACTATGAGTCGGATCCGACTCGACGGCACGTAGCAACACAACATATGTATATGAACCAAACGCAGCCCACTGCCACCGAGTCGCTTCCGACTCACAGTGACCCCATTGGGTTTCCAAGGCGGTCAGTCTTTATGGAAGTAGACTGTCCCACCTTCCTCCCTTGGAGCGGCTGGAGGGAAGCAGGAGTTTGTGTCCCGGCTCATTTCTTCCTGGGGCCCTTCCGTCCGTCCTTGTGTCTGTCTCGATGTTGAGGTATGCTTAGCAGTTCTCCCACTTGACTTTGGAAGGACGTCATTCCCATCTCTCCTTGGGCTCACATGGTTCTACTTTTACTTCTAGAATCTCAGACATTCCTGTAGCTTCTGGTGCCTGGTGGAAGAGGGGATTGGTTCCACCGTTGTCCATTTCTACCAGTTGTCTTTACCCGGTTATTAAGAAGTTGGTTTTCCCTGTGCTGATCTGAGATGCCATCTTTATCACATACTGTATTTCTATACAGGAGCTCAGGTGGCTCAGTGGTCAAAGCACTTGACTGCTGACCAAAACATCGGTGGTTCAAACCCACCAGCCACACCACGGGAGAAAGTTGATGCCGTCTGCTGTCTTAAAGATGTTCAGCCTTGGAGACCCCATGGTGGAGTTCCACTCTGTCCTCTAGGGGTGCTGTGGGTCAGAATGGACTCCAGGCAGTGGGTGTGGTTTGGGTTTTGCTTCCGTGAAGACTGACAGCCTTGGAGACCCTGTGGGCAGTTCCACTCTGTCCTCTAGGGGCGCTGTGAGTCAGCATGGACTCCAGGGCAGTGGGTGTGGTTTTATCAGGCTTATGCATCACTTTTATCTCTGCTTCATAACAACAAAGAATTTGGCGATTTCCTTTGCTCTCCTCTGGAATCCTTCATGTCCTTGGTCTTTAATATTTGGTAGAATCCACATCAACTGTCTGCGTCTGATGCTTTGTGTGTGTGAGCGTAATCCTTTGATAAGTTTCTGTGCTTTTTCTATGGAAACTGGTCTGTGTGAGCTTTTCTAAGAATTTGGTAACTTGTACTTTTCCTGAGAGTGTTTATTTCATCTAGTTGCAAATAAGCAGCTCTGGTGATGTAGTGGTTAAGGCATTTGGCTGCTAACCAAAAGGTCAGTGGTTCAAAACCACCAGCTGCTCTGTGGGAGAAGATGAGGCAGTCTGCTTTCGTAGATTGGCAGCCTTGGAAACCCAGTGGGGGCTGCAGGGGTCGGAATCGATTCCATGGTAGTGAGTTTGGTTTCTTGGTTTGAGTTGCAAATACATTTGCGTAAAGTTGGACAGCAATCCTTCTTACCAGTTCTTTTCTGTGCGCTTCCTGGTTTCAGAAGGTGATTACAGAGCTGTGTCCACGTGGTCCTCTCACAGGATCCAAGTCTCCAAGTTCCAGTGACTTGAACAGACGCCTCGAATGGTTGGTGTTTCAGCCCCACCCCGAGGCCCAGCAGGTGACAGACCCGGTGACCGGCTTCGGGGACCAGCCGTGGAAAACCCTGTGGGTCGCAATTCTCCTCCCGTGCACCGGGGTGCCGGGAGTCAGCCGGCTCGGTGACCAATGGTTTGGTCGTGTTGTCAGGACAACCTGAGACAACACACGTGAATTAGCATCTAGCTCGTTGTCAGTGTCTGCAAAGCCCTCGGCCAGTGCCCCGTGCTGTCGGGACGCGTGTGGTGCACCAGGCTGCGGCTGTGCCTGGCTCTCCGGCCTCAGTTTCCATCGGGAAATGGGCTGCTGTTCTCCCGCCCCTAAGGCCGTTTTTAAAGATGAGCTGCGAGGCAGATAGCTGGGAAGGGCTTTGTCAGGACATAAGCCTTTGGACGCCACAGACGTGGCCTTCACGTCCTTCTCCACTGGGGACATGGTGATGGGGTCAGTATCGTGATGTGAAGAGTGAAATGACCAGTTGTCTTGGGGTGACTGACAGCAATGGCACCCTCATGTGTGTCGGGGTGGAACTGCGTGCCATAGAATTTCCAAAAAACCCCAAACTCCCTGCCCTCCAGTGGATTCAACTCACAGAGACCCCTCCTTGGGTTTGCCAGGCAGTAGCACCACAGAAGTAGATTGCCCAACCTTACTTCCTAGAAGTGGCTGGTGGGTTTGAACCTCCAGCCTTCAAGTCAGCAGATGCCTCAGGCCCGGTCCCCAGAGCTCCCAGTGGCTGGGTCAGCAGTCAGATGCCTCAGGCCCCGCCCACCAGGGCCCCCAGTGGCTGGGTCAGCAGTCAGATGCCTCAGGCCCCGCCCACCAGTGGCCCCAGTGGCTGGTTTTTGGAAGTACACTGCGGGGCTTTCTTGTGTGGCAGGCACCTGTGGGTGAACCTGAGCCTCTGCCCTTTCAGTCAATAGCTGAGCCTGTTAAAACGGTTCCCCCCAGGGACTCTGCTATACAGCAGAGCGCGTTAGGACCCAGCCGGCCTGGACCCACGTTTGCAGGCTAGCTGTCTCATTAACCTGCACCTCCACGCAGCGATTTCACCGCCTTCCTCAGTTTCCCCTGTGACGTGGTGGGAAGCCTGACGTGGCAGAGATCTGGCATGACGTGTGCTGAGCACTCAGTGTTTGCCAGGCCCTGGGAGGTGCTTCACGGTATTATGGGGATTCCAGGGTTGGAACTCTCGCCTTCCCCTCAGGGGACCCGCGTTTGGTTCCTGGCCGAGGTACTTGTGCGCAGCCCGTCGGTCCATGTAGGCCTGTGCGTGGCTGTGATGCTGAACGGGTTTCGGCGGTGTTTCCAGAGGAAGACGGACGAGGAGGGCGCCAGGTGACTTGCTCTGAGAATCAGCAGTGCACACCCTGACTCACAGTGGCCCGATCGGCCACCGCGTGTGGGCATGGCACGGGGCAGGGCTGCACCTGGGTCCGTTGTGCGTGGGGTCGTCTGAACGTGGCGGCAGCACACAGCAGCAGCCGTGCTGGTCAGGGTCGCTCGGACCTCGGGGGCTCCTGAAGGGGTCACAGGTCAGCCAGAGGCTCACAGAGCACGGTGAAAAATGCCGATGTCGGCCGTGCGCTGATGGTTGTGGCCACCGAGGGGAAGGCTGTCCTAGGAGAGGACAGGTGAGCAGGTCGGCTCCCGGCCGGGTCTGAGGCCCTCTCCGCGTCCAGTGCCCTTAGTGTGACTGCGTGCACTGGGGACCACCTTGGGGTGGGAGCCAGCCCTGCACAGGTGGGACGGTGGCTGCCAACTGCTTGTCGTTTGAAAACAGTTTGGCTTTTAAATCTTGATTCAGTTTCCTTCTTGAAATTGAAATGGGCTCACACAGGTGACACCGAGTGATGTCAGGCGTTGGAGCCTGGCTTTGGTGTCCTCCGCCGACTGTCACGGCCTTGAAGCAGAGGGAAGGGCCTGCTTTTGTCTAGATGGTGTGCGACTCTCCTGGCTGACCTGGTCTGCCATCCTGCCTCTCACGTTCTTGTTGCCAGCTGCCAGCGAGAGGCCCTGACTTACGAGGATTTGGCTTCTTCCTTACGGCGACCCCACGCCCGGAAGGAGACGCTGCCCGTTGCCAGGGTCGGGGCCGGTCAGACACTGTGACTGTAGGACTCTGACGGCCTGATTTTCTGAGGGAGACAGCCAGCCCTTTCTTCCCAGTCTCTGTTAACCTGGAAGCTCCTCCGGGACCTGTTCAGCACGACAGCCTCAGGCAGTGTCCGTGGACAGACAGGGGGGAGGGGCCGCTGGCCGGGATCGAACCCGGTCGTCCGTGTGGCAGGCGGACTGCCGTCCCTGCACCCCCCGCCCTCGTCTCCATGTTGGGGCGCTGCGTTCAGGGCTCCAGCTGAAGACGAGGTGCTGTGAGTACCACTGCGAGCGCGGGGTGTGCCACACCCCGTCCGCGGGCCTAACCACACCTTCTTCTCTCCCTGAGCCCAGCCATGGAAGAGTTAATCGTGGAACTGCGGGTCTTCCTGGAGCTCCTGGACCACGAGCCGCTGGCGCCAACGGTCAGGGAGAAGAAGGCCGAGATCGCCAACATCCTGCTGCGGGTCCAGGCCCCCAAAGGTGAGCCCGCCAGGCGCCCCCTCCTCTGCTTCAGGGCCACCCTCAAGCTGTCTCTTGCTCAGACCTGGGCATTGGCTTGTTGACTGATGGCCCCTGGTCCAGCAGAAGAGAAAGGCTTTCAGGAGCGAATGGGGCAGTGGGGTGTTAGGGTCCCCCAGGCCACCGCTCATTGGGAGGGTCCCTAGAAGGACTGACTCACAGGTTGGACATCAAGCTGTGCTTATGGCCAGGGGTGATCCCAGCCCGTGTGAGGGCCCCCAGGGCTGGGCGTTAGGGAGAAGGACCTCCTGTGCTCTCCCTGCATGAGGCCACCAGCACCCACTCCCACCCCCCCACTGTGCACATGAAGCCACTTCCTGCAGGATGCCCCTGGAGATGTAGCGGCAGGGCCCAGCCTGGGGGCTGGCCATGCGGCAGCTCTGCCCGGCAGGTGTGCCGGTCAGCAGCCACGAGGGAAGTGTTCTCACCGTGTGGGCACAGGGACCCACTCTGGCCGGTTAGTGTGGTGGTAGGGACCATCTCAAACCTCCGCTTGCAGATGGCAGCCCCAGGCTGACGGTGCTCACAGGCCCTGGGTTGGACCCTCCTGCCCAGTGTCTGTAGGAGCAGTGTGGGTGCAGACTCATGGTGGGGGCCCCGAGGAGGAATCCTGGGCAGCTCCCTGAGACGGGAGCACTGGAGGACGGGATGTCGTCATCCCGATGGCTCTGTTCGGGATGTGTCATTTCAGCGAGTGGCTCCCGCCTCAGAGTCACCCCCTGTGACGGTGGGACTGCCCCCAGGGTTCCCAGCGCTGTCCCCTGTACGGAGCAGGTCACTGGGTCTCTGCCCTGGAGGCACTGAGTGGGTTTGAATTCCCGTCCTCCCCCAGCAGCTGAGTGCTTGAGCATCGTGTTATCAGGGCTCTCTTGGCAGAGCACAGCCAGGTGGAGCAGGCAAACACGTGGCAAAGGCTGGAGCCACGCGACAGCCTGTGTCCGGGCAGCAGCGTGCACCTCGGGGCTGCGTCGAGTGTAACATGTAGGGCTCAGACCACCGCCTGGCTGCTGAGGCCCCTCTACGGGATGGAAGCCACCAGCTGAGCGTGCCAACCATTTGCACCACCAGGGCCCGGGCCCCCCGCAAGGCCCCTATAATGGGCGGTCATGGGTGTGCACCCCAGTGGCGTCTGCCCTTCACAACTGCGTGGCCCTCTGCCTGCATGAGGAAGGGCGAGGAGCAGGAGGGAGTGGCCCGCCGGGATGGCGTCAGGCTCGAACGAGGCAATGTCAGATACGTGAAAGCCGTGCCTGACAGGTGGCAGGTACTCAGCAAAGACGGGCTGTTGTTTCTATCAGGAGCTCTGCTGGCACCGTGCTTTAGGTATTTGGCTGCTAACCAAAATGTTGGTGGTTCAAACCCACCAGCCTCTCCTCGGAAGAAAGATATGGCTTCCGTGAAGACT